GACCTGGTTGTATTTAAAGAAGGAATGTGTGTGTGTGTGTGTGTGTGTGTGTGTGTGTGTGTTTAAGGTTAATACAAAGGGTGTGGGCTTTAATAGGAAACCAAGTGTTTGAATGATCTTACACAGCAGAACATCTAAAATTTATTTATATTTGTCTGCATGATATATTTTGGAAGCTTACCATTTTGTTCCTCCATTAATTCAACAAAAAATTTATAATAAAGTGTTGTTTGGACATCACCTGACTTGGAGGTACAAATGATATACACATGAGCAGAAATCTTTGTTTTCTAGAGCTTGGAGTATTTTGGGATATCACTACTGACATTTATTGAGTAACAATAAGGTAAAGTGAACCAGGATTTGACTGGGAGGTAGGAGAATGTTCAACAAGGCTTTAAAATAGTCTTTGGATAATCTCTTTGCAAAATTTGAGAAATGATTCACACTCCCACCTCACTTAACTAAAATCTTCTTGCACCTGGAATCTGATTTTATTTATTTATTTATTTTTGAGTTGGAGTCTTACTCTTGTCACCCAGGCTGGAGTGCAGTGGCATGCTCACAGTCACTGCAGCCTCAGTCTGCTAGACTTGGGCGATCCTTCTCCTCAGCCTTCCAAGTAGCTGGAACTACAGATACACACTACCATACCCAAGCTAGTTTTTGTGATTTATTGTAGAGACAAAGTCTCACCAAGTTGCCCAGGCTGATCTCAAACCCTCGGGCTCAGGCAGTCCTCTTGCCTTGACCTCCCAAAGTGCTGAGATTACAGGCTGAGCCACCACGCCTGGCCTGAAATCTGGTTTTAAGTCATGTCTATTCTTTCTAGACTTTTGAATGAGTAGGTAAAGATTTCTGTTACTATGTCCTTCATGCTGCAGGCGAGTATTGTTGCCATGTGAACATTTTCCCTTCATGGGATCACCATTTTCCAGATAATTCTTCTGGTCTTGATATGTTCAGTGAAGCATTATTGTCCCAGAATCATTTGGTGTTCACCAACACCTACGTCTGTTTCTTAGCCCTCTGAGCTACTATTTCTCAAAAAGCATAGTTGACGTGTCATAAATATGAGAGACTTTGGGCAATAAATGAAAAGTTTAAGTTGGATTTAGGAGTTAAGCCAAAGATAGAAAGGAATTGCTCTTAAAAGGTAGTAGCAGAGAACAGACCTGGATTTGAATCATGGCTGTGCTGTGTGACCTTGAGTATACTATATCTTTTTTTGAGATTCAAATTTCTTATCTTAATATGGGAATAATGACATTACCTGTCTCCTATGGTTTACACAAAAATTAACTGTGGTAAGGTGGCAAAAAAAGGTTTATCAAACTATTTGGCATATTGTAGGAATTTAATAAATGGTAAATTCTGTAGGAAATATGAATGTATGTGTGAGTATATGATATTTGATATTAGCATCACAAGTACTCTTTCCCTGGATATTTTCACATATGTGCTATATTTTGTCCCCTTTACTCATAATATTTATACATATATACTAAGACTTTTATCGGTAGTATAGGAACAACAATTTGAACACTGAAAATCCAGGTAATTGTCTAGGTAATTTTTCTGTTTCTAATAAACATGTAGACATTTTCTCCCAGAAACTTACCTAAGTTTACTCTGTTTACATTAACCACGAAACAAAATGCATGTAAAAAAACAATTAATTTAATCGCTGCTTTGACTTTAGACAATGAAAAGAAACTGGTATGATTCATGTTTTCAGATAATTATTGCAATTGATCACTTCTGCTTGGTGTGTGTGATTCACGCTTTTGTTAAGTCATGTCTATTCTATCTAGACTTTTGGATGAGTAGATAAAACTTTCTGATTTAGTTCCTTCATGCTGCAGGAGATCATTGTAGTCCTATGGATATTTTCCCTTCGGGGTTCACTATTTTTCACAATTAATTTTTTTGGTTTTGACATGCTCAGTAAAACATTATTCTCCCAGAATCATTTGGTGTTCACCAATACCTAGCTCTATTTCTTGGCCTTCCGGGCTACTATTTCAAAAAGTGCTTTTTTCAGAGAAAAATTAACTCTTCAAATAATCATCACAAAGTCATATGAGAGCTTTTAAAAAGCTCTGGATTTTCTTAATCCATCCCGAGATTGTTATTTGGTAAATGTGGGACTGAGAATCTCTTTGCACAAGCTCACGAGGTGATTCTAATGTTCATTCATGTTTGGGAACTACAGGTATGAACTGTCTTTCCAATATTCAGCTCTGCCTATGATGGAAACATTTTGTAATGGCAAGGAGTATGATGAACTCCTAGAAAACTCTTGATTATAAGCAAATAAACAACCTCCACTTAGAACAAACTTGTTTTCTTCCTGTTTAAGGTATATATTTGTGACTACTTAGTAATAGAAAAATGTTTTTATTATCCAAATCAAAGCACAGCATGAGGTACTTTCTAATAAAATCAACTGTAGATTATACACAAGTCAAAATCATCTGACTGTTTACTGAGTTCGAAATCCTTCGAGGAACTAGGAAAAAGGTTTAATTTAAGATTTTAATCTTTTCATATATTACATGGCTTCTATAATGGGTTTTGTGCATCTGAAACTGAGAGATTGACAGGTCTTGATATTATAAGTTTATTAACCACTGGTTAAATGGTCAGAGTTAGTGTACAAAGCATTTCTACAATATTTTTCTAGGCAGGACTAGAAAGAATAATTTCTACAAAACCTGAGGTAGGCAAGAGTTTAGTTAATACTAAACAAGCAGAAGTAGTGTCTTATTCCACAACGAACTTTTCTAAATAGAAACGTTACACATTAAACATAAAAATGTGATGTTGACTTCAAAGTTAAAATGACATAATGGTGGGAAATCTGAAATATGTCTTGAAGATTTACTAACCCAATCCTACAATAGGCAGTTTTATCATTTTGAAAATGGGGACTTCGGGACCCAGCAAATGTTGAAGCACAAACATTTGTAAAATGAGTTATTAGGAGCAAAAATTAATTCTTCAAATAATCATAATCACTATCTATAGAACATTATACAGAACCAGATACTGTATGTTAATTATACAAATTATTTCATTTAATCTTTACAGCAACCCTACATATAGGTACAATCATTGTCTCCACTTTATAGAAAACTGAGGCCTAGGGAGAGAAACTGACTGTTTAAGGTCATCAAATAGGTGGTAATATCGATTTATAAATCCTGGCTTTGTTTGTCTTACTTTGGTTGCCATAAAATAGATTTTTCAAATCAGTACTAAGTAGTGTGAAGTCTTTAGATGAACAAAGGCAATTTATATGTGTGATAATGTTAAAGTAAGAGATCATTTGGTAAACTGCAGGACTTCTTAGTCAAATAGCAAGGAAATCAGTAACTTTGCTGGATTTTTCCTTATTGTTCTTGGAGAATTCCAATTGTAGATGGCCCTGACCTGAATCTGAAAAATCTCCAGCCAACAGGCTAAATTTGGTCTTAAATTGACTCTCTCCAGCCTCATTTTCTTTTGTGGAGCAAAAACACAACACCACAATAAAAATGCCGCCTCCCCAAAATACTAAAAAATTACGAGATAGCAATGCTATTCCATGATAGCAGAAATCAATTCCACATAGACGGTTGTAAATTTGTATATTTCCCACAGTAGAAATTATGTCTTTTCCCTCATTAAAATTAAGAACAAAATTCAAGAATATCTATGTTCCTAAAACATAGACAAAGATTATAGCATATTATGACACGTACTGCCAGTATTAATTGTTCCTTTATATTTTGTTTAATTTATTGTGCTGCACATTTATTTTAAATCAAAAGCAGGTAAAATCAGGTACATTTAATATTTTAGTATAATTTAAACTTTTTTGTTTATAAAGCTCTTCATATATTTTCTTCTGTGAATTTATGCAAAAAAGAAACCTTTTTCTTTGTTCTTAGATTATATCACAAGGCAACTGGGTTATGAGAGTTTAAGTTTTATATTATCTTTATATTTATGAGAGTTTAAGTTTTATATTATCTTTATATTTTACATTATATCTTTATAACTATACAATATTATCTGTTTTGACTATTCAATTCAACGAAAAATATATCTTGCTAATTATTTTATGGGATAAATCTACTGATGAATCAAATGGCTGTTAACTATTTAGTGCCATGTTGAGCTGTTAGACATACTCTGTTTGGGACAATAAAAGTTTATTTCAATTTCACCTTAAGACTACATATTAAAAATCAAAATCACATTTTTTGAGGTATATGCAACACCTTAATCAGTTTTAAATTCTACTTGAAAAAAGGTCCTCCATATGTCCTTTATGTTAAAAGACAGAGTAAGCAGATTTCATTCCAGTCTTTACTCCACAGTGTTAATGCAATCAGGATTTTACCTGAGGATGTTGCCTACATCAAAATATAATAATGCATTAAATCACAAGCCAACCCAATAGTGACTAAATGGCTCAATGGAAGCTATATAGCTTAGAGATGCAAAATTCAGCCACCATAACCGGTCACAACGCAAGGTACATGGACGGAGTAGGCTATTGTCTTTCCAAATTCCCCATTCACTGATGTATTATAGAGAGAACAATATAATGCCAATGATCCAATCTAAGAAGTCCTGTGGAAATGAATGTTCAAGGTAATTCCGACCTATATGACTTACCTTGGAATTAGATGAGTAAAAAGACAGATTTTTAGGCTCTGGAACTTGCAAGTATTGCTTTGATGAAACAGTATACATATCTATATATCTATCTGTATATATATATATACTCATGTGTTTATATACTCAGTAGTATGGCTTAGATAATTCTGTTAATATTTATCCGAGAGACAGACTATGTCCTTCTAATTTACTAAATTCGCAGTTCCACTTTAATCTCAAAGTAATTTTCTTTAAAGTGATTTACAATCACACACACACATGCACACACACACACACACACACACACACACACAGTCACATACATATGCTCACAGGTTTTATGTTCTTACCTGGTGATGCCCAAGCTACAAATATGGAATAAGGTCCAATTACTGTGATATTATATGGAGGATGGATTTCTTCTGGTGTCGATATTGGTGTTTGAACAACATAATCATTACTAGTACTGCTACCACCTCCAGTTTTGGCTTCTAACTTGTAAATGTATCTATAATTAAAAAGAATTGTGATAAGGCAATGCATAACAGATTTGAACAATGATTGCTGGGTTTTGTATCCATTACTTATTTCTGAATTTGTGACAAATTGCAAATTCTTTGCTTACTATCCAGAAACTTGACTTGGTAGTTTTATTAGCACAGGCAACATTCTCTCCAGACCATTGCTATTTCAGCCGCTCCCAACTTTATTTTTAACCTGTTAGTAATTCATATCTTTTCTTGAAGATTTCAGGAAAGTCTTGAGGAGTGCTGGTGGATTGTAAAGGATTCAAATTAATCTTCCCCATTTTTAAATGGGTTGGAGTTCAAGGAAATATGTTTAGAGAAAGATGTGTTAAAATTGATCTGCTATTCTGTACAATAAAATGAAATTGATCTCTACTTTCTATAATAAAACATCTGTTGATGTAAAATATATTTTGTCTCTGTTAAGAAATAAATGGGAGTGAATTGCAAATATGTGGAACTTCTCCCCTAAAACCACCTACATCTATATGTAGTACAGCAGGTAGAGAAAACATTGTATGAGAAGAAACAACAGTAGATGTAAAACAAAATCCTTTAAATCTCTTTTATGACTAGTTTAGGAATGTTGGGTTTTGAAAATAATCTAATAATTTTTAACTTTAGTGTTTTGTATATTTTGTATATTAAAAAATTCTCATGCTTTTATGTTAAGTAAAGGACCAATTATTTATTTATACTTTTTAAGGAATTTCATGTAGTCTGAGGACTAAATGACTCAGCACTTTTGTCAGTTGTAGAATGGCAATGATGAGAAAATTAATTAAACAAGTTAATAACTTTCAAGGGAACAATTTTTTTTAACCTGAAAAAATATAAAAATCTTATGGTATGATTGCTAAAGCTTTTTTAGTTTACCTGCTGTGGGGCTCCAGGTTTTTATCAGTGAAATTCTGCTCCTCACTGCCACCCAGGAAAAGCAAGGTCCCATTACGACTCAATTGATATTGAGAAATGAGGCCATTGGGCTTTTCTGGCGGACTCCAATATAATTCCACCGTTGTAGAATTGATGATAATGTGTCGAGGTGTCACCCAAACCCCTGGCAAAAAATAACACAATGAAGTTTTATTGTTAGAATAAAATGAAACACCTTATCAAAAGTCACACAATCACTTCAAGAACTATAATATCTTTTCTGTTGAATTTTTAAAAATCTCATTTTGAGAAACACAAATACTTAATTGGGTGTAATTTTTTAATTACTTTTATTTTTTATTTGCCTTTAGAAAGTGAATGTCAGACAACTGGTAGTGGAAAATTTCTTGTCTTGGCTGTAATTCTGAGTGTAATTTAAATCAAGACCTGAGAGACTATCCAGGGATCTTAAACTTTAATATTATTCACTGGAATCTGCGGGATAAGCATAATCTAGTATTTACCTGAGTTATACAATTCAACAAATAAGCATACATTTTCTTTCCCTCTCACACCAGTGCTGTGTGTGCTTTTTTTTTTCTCTCTTTGTGCCTCTGGGCTCATTTCCCCTCCAGGACCTCATAATGACATTGTCTCAGAGACTAGACTTCCCCTTCCCTCTCTTCTCCTCCCCTCCCTTCTGCTTTCTTTTTCTTTTTTCTTCTTTTTTCCTTCACCTCTCCTCTTTCAACACTGACTTCTCAGGTGATCTCCATTCAGTCTTACATTTAAATATCATCTTTAAACCGAAGACTTCCAAATGCATGTCTCTAGGTTGAAACTTTCTTCTGAACTTCAGACTCAAGAATCCAACTGTTTACCTGACACTTCCATTTGGATGACTAATTAAATATCAAAAACTTAAACTATCCAAAACAGAACTCTTGGTTTTCCTGTCTAAAAATCTATGCATCTTCCAATCTTATCCATCTATCTACTTTCTTGGTCAACACACACACAAAATAATTATTCCTGAGATTTCACTCTTCTTAGCTCCAAATGTAATTTATCATTTAGCCCTGCAGATTCTATATAGTTCTCCACATCTTTACTGCCACTTCTCCTGCTCCAAGCCACATTTCTCTCTCTCATGGATTCCTGTCACAGCCTCTAAACTGGTCTCCATATTTTAAATCTTGGCCTTCCCTATTCTACAGAACCTTTATAAAAGTGCATACGGTATATAAGTAAGCCAGTGTAATCTTTATGAAATATATAACTCTTTGAATTTATTCATATAGTATAATCCCAATTTCTCATCATGACCTGTGCAGTTCCACATTTTTCTGACTCTGGCATGATTGCCACCACCCTCTCCATTGTTTGCAAAGTTCCAGCCATGCCAGACTCCTGTTTATCTCCAGAAAGTTTCACGTTCTTTCCTACCTCTGGGTTTCTGCACTTCCATTTCTCCTGCCTGGAAAACTTTTGCTCCTGACACCATGACACTTTCACATTTTGTTCGGATTGTTCAGTTACTGTGTCAATATCACCTTACTGGTGAGGCTTTATTTTACCACTCTTCCTTAACTCTAACTCGAACCCCATCTAAAGTTGTCCCAATCTGCTCTCTACTACATGCCCTTTTTCTATTTCATTCTTACAATTCAGAACATCATAATCATCTTCTTTCTTTGACATATTACTATTTTTATGTTGTAGGATTGTGTAGTCCACTCCCTCCTGCTTTGATGCACAGTTAGTTCCAGGAGGGCAGGGAGTATCTCTATCATATTTGTCAATGTATCTCCATGGATAACTGAATGCCTAATAAGTGTTGAATGAATTTGATTTATTGTAAACATAATTGTAAAAATCCTACAAAATACTAGGTTAAGCACTTTAGGCAGTTCTAGGAAATGACAAGATGACTGAGATGTGGCTCATTCTTTCAAAGAGTTTACACTTTTGTATAAAAAAATAAAATATACACACAAGTAACTGTAATTCAAGGTCAAACTTTCAAGTATTCTTATAGATGTACAAATGTATTGATGGCGAACTCAGCAAGGAGAAAATCAGTCCTACCACTTTATGTTGTCATCTAGTTATGCTCTGAATAGACACTGTAACTCTCCTCTGGAGCTGTAGAAAACTCATTTCTATATTAAGTTCCCTGTAATCAATAGCTCTTGGTTGATTGTATCTTTTGTGTAAGTTACTCTGTAAACTTCTAGAAGAAAAATTTTCAGGATAACAAAATGCAATTTTTTATCCTGAAAGAATCTAGAGTTCAAAATGCTTCAAAAATATCAACTTTTTAAGGAGCTATATATTCCTGAGAAGAAAGTAGCTCATTTTGTTCTGATCACTTGCTTTGTTCTAGATACTTGGAAAAACCCACAAATCACAGCACACATTTATGTGTGGGTTTCTCTGCCAACAGCAGTAAGATGACTCAACCAATCAATTAGAGCTCTGATTTAAACACAATATTAATTTGTTGATTCAAAAGATGAAATATAAAGGCTTAATTCCTAATATGCTTCCTGCAGTTATGTCTTTTTCACCTTGAAAGATGTACTAAAAATCACTAAGGTACTAGAAAGGCTATAGCTTAGTTTCCAGCTTGAACCAGTCAATAAAACCTGTGGATATGGAGGAGCTAATGTAATAAAATGAAACAGAATTTTCGGTTTGTTGCAAGTTTTAAATAAAAGTTGAGTTTTATATTTATATAAGTTGGAAGCTTAATTCAAGTTGGTAATAACCCTGAGTCTATTGGTTTGATTAATAAGATGAAGTTCAAACATATAACTAGTAAGTGCTGCATTTTTGCTTGCATAGTGATATGGAGACATTGTTAAGGGGGACCAAATAAAATCCAGAATTATCTTTGGGAGGACAGGTCCCTTGTAGTATAGGCTACCCCCACTAGGTAAGTGTTCTAAGAACCCATCGGCATCAGTGTACCAGCAAGCATCATTGTAAGAGGCTGCATTTGGCTGCAGTGAAATATTTTTTGGAGATTCTTACAATATGTTTGCCCATTTCATGATGAGTGATTTACAGCACACCTGCCCACAGTGCATTGAGTGTTCAGCAGTTTTTTTGTTTTTTGTTTTTTACCAAAAATGGCATCATGCCTCATCCTTCCTATTCACTCAATCTTGCCTTGAGCAATTTTTTTTTGGTTTGTTTCCCCAGATACAAAATGTTTTGCCCATGTAGAAGAGGTGAAACAAGAACAGTAGAAGCATTAAAAGGGATCCAAATCGACAAGCTAAAAAATTCTCCTGAGCAGCGGAAAAAGCATCTTGATAGGTATATTACATCAAATGTAGAGTACTTGGAAGGTGACTGAAGTTTAATCATGTAAGGATAAATACACATTTCTTAAAGAATAAATTCTGCTTTTTTGGATCCTCTTGTATCTTGGTGGTTGCAAGAAATTTTTGTCAGAGTAACATTCACATTTGGTGAGATGTCTTAATGAGTGCCAGGTGGAGAATTTGCCCCTCTTCCCCTTTTACTCCTCAACTTGAGTCTCGGGTGGCACCAGAAAAACTCATACTGTGTAATAGAGGGATGATTTGAGGCAGCTTGAGAAAAGAAAATGAATGGTAGTAAGGGAAATAAACTAGGAGAACAAGGCAAGACAAACTAGCTGAGATTAAAGGGGAAAAGGTCACAAGTAAATCCTGGTGGGTCTCTTGATACAATGACTACCAGAAAAAGAATGTGTCTAAAGAATTTATTTGAAATTTATCTTGAGTTCCATGCAATATTGCCTACAAATATTCGTTTAAATTCAAAATTCCCAAAATTTATTGTGGTTTGGTTTTCTCCTGAAATCTGATGATAAGAACTAGTTTTATGTTAGCTGATATCAGAGATGCATTTGCTTCTGGACTATTTACTATTTGTTAATTTATTCATTCAACATTCTACCTGACTCATGTCATTTTCTGTGTTGGGCACTGTGGCTCTGGGGATAAAGACATATCATTCTTACCCTTCAGGGAGCTAATGGATCATGGTGGATAAAGATGAGACAATAAAAAGTTATATTCCAGTATGATACATGCTTTAAGAGAAGACAGTGCAGTGTCTGTTAGAGCACTTAGGAAGGGTAACCTGACAGACTGAGGGAAAAGATGGGAATGCACAGAAAGTAGATGATCATAGGAGAGATTTACAGAAGAGACACTTGAGCAAAGTTTTGAAAGAGTAGGAGTTAACTGAGTGAGGCTATAGGGAAAGGGTGTTCAGAAAGCGGGGAGCTCATGTAAAGTCCTGGAGAAACAAGAAAGCAAGGCGGGACTGCACACACGTCACACAGCTAGTGCATTCTGTGGCATGTGGGGAAGACTGAAAGACTTAAATGACTGGTGGAAGTTAAAACTTGAGGGTTCCATTTTGCTTTACTAAGGAGATATGGATTTATGTCTTCTGGAAAGAAATGTGGTTTTATGGAGGTGACTAATATGACATATGCCTATTTTGTCAAAAGAAAAAAAAGAATTGGGTGGAGGATGTAAAAAAGAGGCTAAATGACTAAGACAGGCAGGTAATGTAGTTAGGAGGATTCACAGAAGTTATGAGGACCTGAACTAAGGGAGTGGCAGAAAGAATGGAAAAGAAGATCAAAGTTTTAAAAAAATTATTCAAGATTTTAAATTGCGATTTTATGAAGAAGTATATATTACATATTGAAAAGGAAAGCATTGAGTTTTGAGTTTAGGTGATAGGTGGTGGTATTTGAGAGAGGGAAACAGCGAGAAAGTAAGTTGGGAGGGTGTAGTGGAGTGGGAGAGATTAAGTGTTGAGGTACTAAGATTAAAGTATTTGAAAAACACTCAAATATAAACATCTAGTAGATAAGTGGATACCTAAGCTTTAAACCCATGAGTGTAGCCTTAGTGAGAGCCTTAGTATTTGATAGCTCCCAGACTTCCTTATAAAAGCCACTTCTCGGGTATTCCAAAGGAGACTGTGGAGTTTTAAGTACAAAGTGTAGAGGAAGAGGCTAAGGGGGGATATACAGTTAAAAGAAGAGCAAAGGAAGAGGAATCTGGAACGAAACTGAGAAAGATTGGTCTTCTTTTTCCCTTTTCTTTTCCACATAGCAATGCTAGAGAAGAGCATGCCTTCAATTCTGCATGATTTATCTCTAAAATGAATTAGAGCTCACTTGGATGACAGTTATTCTAAAAAAAGTACTAATCCAATTCAAACTCTTTCTATTATTTGAATAAAGGTACACAATCTTCTATGATGATAAAATTGTAGAGAACTGTGCACAACTAATAAATAAGGTTGTAATATGTATTAACTTTTGAAAAAATCTTGAATTGGAAGTGAGAGAGAAAGGAGAAGAGCTCAGGCTGGCTATGAACAAATGCTTCTCTTCATTCTCTCCACATCCACTCAGAACACTCAAATAGTAGATCTCCAAACTATGCCTGATTTGCTTCAAAACTGGTATTTTATAATTAGTTATGTCTGAGTTAATAATTTAAAATCTATCTTTTCCACTTTGTAGTAAAACAACAGAGCTTGATATTATTGCTGATTTGTTCCCTTACAACTCCCAAGTTAGTATTCACACTACATTTATTCTATATACAAGTTATATACAAATGACACATACAGAAAATGGATCGAAATTCATGTTTCTTTTGAAGAGGAAAGTCTATTCAGTTTATTATTTCTTTGCATAGTTATTGGTATTAAAGGAAAGGTGCATAAAGTTAAAAAAAGAAATCAAGACAGTGTTTCCCATATCACATTCCCCTGTACTGTTGAAAACTACATTTTTTAAAGTCTTAAAATATAATTTCTTTTCAAGAAATTTTGTTGGAGAAAGTGGGAAAATAGATGCCTATTTTCAGTGAATATAAATATATGGATTTGGTGGCGTAAACTGGAAGAAGAGACCCTGTTATTTTATCAGGCTTGAGTTTCAGCCAAAACTGGTTGATAGATCCTTTAGAAATTATCCATTACCATCAAAGTATCCATTTGATAGTTTACCTTTCCAAAAAATCCACTGCTGGTTTCTTCCTTTCAAAGGAACACTAAGCTTTTTGACATGAAACATTCTTTATATAGAAAACATCATTAGTGAATTCCTGGTGAGGAGCCATATGCCCCATATGTGGAATTTTCCATTTTATTCCCCATTTACTGGTAGGAAGTTCAGGTCTAATATTCTGAGGAACAACAATCCCTTTCATTAGAAGAGTAATGGACAAGTAGTTCAGGACTCTACCATAGTAATTAACATTTCTGTTTAGAAATTTACTCATGCCTCAGTTTCCTCACATTAGAAAGAGGCAGAGAGTAAAGATTAACAAAATAATTAGTTGATCACTAGCACACACTACTGAACATATTTTTCTTTTGAAAGTAAATGATACCACTTAGCTCAGTTCCCAACCCTCAGGCAATCGTTGTTATCAGTTGGTTGTGTATACTTCCAGATTTTTAAAATGCACTTACTTACTTACCATCAAAAAATAAATATCACTTTCTCAATGTGTTTTTATCCAGGAAATATATTAATATACATCAATATAGTCCTACAACATCCTCTTTATGTGAATTGATCATCTCATTCTTCTAAACTGATGCATGGAATTCCACAATGTGCGACGAGTTGAATTTATTTAGCAATTCCCCTTTTCATGAGCGTTTCAATTGCTCCCAACATTTTGCTGTCAAATAGACACAATGCCTCAATAAACATCCTGGCATATTCTTCCTTGAGCAGTGTGGCGTAGTTTCTGGTCTAAATGATGAAAATAGAACTACTGTGTCATGGGGAATTAACAATTTAAATTTGATAGACATTGCCAATTTGCCTTCTAAGGTGATAATACCATTTTACATTCTCTCAAACTGTGTCTGAATGCACATCTCATCCACTGTTCATTTGTCAAAATCCTTGTTTCTTGTGGTCCATCTCAGAAGTCATCTGCTCCATAAACCTTTTCTTGATGTTTATGATGGGTTGTAATCTTCCAACCCATCACTCTGAGCACTCTGTCCATTTGTTATTTCTTATCATCACCATTCAGATTCCCTCATTTTGTATAGATCTGTTTCTTCTCCTATCACTTCTATTTGCTTTTAAGTTCTTGAGGATAGAGAGTATTTTAGTCAACTTCAGCAGTGAGTATGGTGCTTATTATACATTAGATGCCCTAGTAACATTTGTTTAACTTTTGAGTTTTTGAGGAACTTCATATACAAATATGCAGTAATTTTTTTTTGTCCACAGAAAAGCAAATCTGAAGGGGTTAAATAATTCAAAACAAATTTGCCTGAGGAAGTTACATTTAGTTTAATCAAGCCCGAAGAATGGAAACCTAGAATACTATTTTATTTTGTACCTGCCAACTTTATTCCTTTTTCCTTGTTTCATGAAGGAGTTTATAGAATTCACTTCAAAATGCCATATGAAAATTTCTTTCCCCAAATCATGGATATTTTTTCATTACCTTGAGGGGCTGCCTGCAGCGTCTGACCTAGAAAAGGCTCACTTGAAGTGCATCCAGCAGATGTACAAACTGCAAGTGTGAAGCTGTAGTTGGTGTATGGCTGGAGACCTAGAAAGAACAAGCAAGATATAAAGTCCACCTCAAAAGAGTTATTTATTATCAATTAAGTACCAGAAGTAACACTCAGAGTTGTAGGAATAATAACCAAACATTTTAAGAGCACTTTTTAAAACATTCTTTGAGCTGGGTACAGTGGCTCAAAGCCTGTAATCCCATCACTTTGGGAGGCCAAGGTGAGAGAACTGTCTGAGCTCAGGGGTTTGAGACCAGCCTGGGCAACTTGGTGAGACCTCATCTCTACAATAAGCCAAAAAATAAGCTGGGTGTGATGGCCTGTGCCTGTAGTTTCAGCTACTTGGAAGGCTGAGGTGGAAGGATCACCTGAACCCAGCAGGTCGACTCTGCGATGGCCGTAATTATGCCACTGCACTCTAGCCTGGGAGATACAGTGAGACTCCCACTCAAAAAGCAAAACAAAACAAAACAAAAAACACTCTTTGAAGAAGATCGAAACTTCATAAGAGGTTAATTATTTAGATACATTTTATTTATCACTGATAAAATAATAAATTCTCAGCCTTCAAAGAGACCTTAAAATTCATGTAATCCATCTACTCTTCTCTGATTCCCCTGTACAAGATGTCATTGAAGAGGCTGTCCCGCCTATGCCATTGGAGCACTCCATCTCCCAAAAGCCCATTCCATCTTTAGAGAGCTCTAGAGTTCTCCTTATTTTGTCTGAAAGTCCTTTCTTAGATTGTGGTGAAATCTTTCTATTGCTTCCACCCCTGGGGGCATATAGAACAAATCTAATTTCTTTTCCACATGACAGTTCTTCCAATATTTGTAGACAGTTATCAAATCCCCTCTGAGTCTTCTCTTCTCCAAGCTAACCACCCCAGTTTCTGCAACTGCTTCTTATATGAAAAAGGGCAGAAAAAAATAAAATGGAGGTTAGATTCAACATTTTCTAACCCCAAGTCACATTCAGCTCATATTAACACCAACCAACACTTTAAAAAAATTACTCTCCTTCACCATATGTGCCCATAGTATACCACTTCACACTTTTTTTGTGGTATGTTGGTTTTGTCTTTACATATAGATTAAGTCTAATTTGACAAAGGGATGGTTCTTACTACTTCTTTTATATTCGGAATGTGATGCAGCACAGTAATTACTCAGTACATTTTCAGGGAAAAAGAATGACTTAATCCATTTACAATACAAGTTGTATATTGTTAGATTTTGCTACTCCGTGCGTGGCTGGTGACCTTGTTCAAGTTACTTAGCTTCTCTTTGCCTTGGTCTACTGATCTGTAAAATGGGGAATCATTATAGCATCAAACTTATATGAAAAGATGAAATGGGATACTCAGAGTAGTATTTTATTTTAGCAGAAGCGACTTTAAAACTCAGTAGCATTCAACAAAGAGGATATTGGGCTTACAAAACATCTCTTCATTTGATTCTCAGGAAAGTTCAAACAATGCCAAAGCTATATTTTTTTCAAAAAGTCTTTTTTAAAGAACAGAACTTAGCCTATTTGTCAAATAATTGGGCTGAGTTATAGTGTGATCCAATAATCACTATGCTTATTTTTCATGCATTTTGAGCTATATTTTCACATATTTTATGCTTTTGGTCACTGACTCTTCCTTCAGAGATACTCATGTGTCATGCTGTCTCTTTATGTAGATACCTGTTCCAATGTTAAAGTTTTAAAGATCTTGACCACTCTATTTAAACAATATGCCCATCACCTTTAATGCCCTTAAATAATTTTCTTCTTTTATAGCTTTCATCATTCTCCGATGTTTTGTTTATTGATTGTCTGTCTCCCACTCTATGAGGTAAGCGCCGAAAGAACAAGGACTTTGTTTTGTCTACCACCGTATCCTTCCAATAGTGACAGGTACAAAGTATGTGTTTGTTCAATGAATGAAAGAATTAACAATCAGATTCATGTAGAACTGGAGCAGTAGTCTGGGTTCTCTGCTAAAGCAATAATGCTCTGCAGCTGGAGCTACTCTGGGATTCATCTTCTGAGCCCTTTGTGTTTTCTTATCAATTTAGTGATAAGATGCAAGCACTTATTTGATTATAATCTTCCATTTGGTTGCTTTGGAGGATTTACATAATTTTGATATTTACCTGATTTACAGAGGAGGAACATGACTAAAGATCTAAGCCATGCCCATACCACGTGTGTTTGATAAAAGCTTATAGGAAAATGCTAAGATTATAAAATGTAGAGCTCAAAAGAAAATGAAAGGGAATGTTCAAGAATGAAAGTCAGAGGTTTACAGTGGCAAACTTATTTAGCTTGACAGTGTCTCCCTTCACCCTCACTACTAAAAAAAGTGATCTTGACCATTTAATATCATTTCATCTGAATGTCATACTTTCTCTGCTAGAATGTAAACCCTCTAATAGTGGGCATGGTTTCGCTGAGTGGTTTTTTGGGGGATCATTTTCTCCATAGTGCTTATATTAGGCATTCAATGTTTACTAGATATTGTTTAAAGAAGAACACGCCCACAATTGTGCTTCATCAGAATTGCAGGGCTATGAGGCTATGATGTCTGTCCAGTGTGATTTGACCAAACGGGTCCTTTTTCTAATTCCATAGGCATCCCTACTCACAGCATCCGTTTCGTTGAGTTGGAGATACTTCCCTAGGTACAGAATAGAAATAAAATAATAGCAAAAATTAATATAACTTGTGAGCAATAAATATTTTTTAGATTTTTCCCCCTGAATATTAGATATAAGTATAGTTGGTAAATGTAAAGAGATATTTGAAGGGTTTTTTTTTCCTGGAGTATTTTGACCAAAAAAATGGCCTCAATTCTCTTCCTCATTTTGTGTTCTGGTTATTCTGATTTCACACATGAAGTGACTGTGGAAAAAAATTTTAAGAATGGGTATTAGGGAAAGAAGGAAAAATCATCACAGAGATGTGCAATCTGTATTGTGGATTGAGGACAATAAGGATAGTTGTTAAAAGAAACATTAATGTATATATAAAGTGTCATTAAAAAAATTTTTGTTTTAGAGACAGGGTCTCATTCTGTCACATTGGCTGGAGTGCAGTAGCACAATCATAGCTCACTGCAGCTTCAAACCCCTCAGTTCAAGTGATTCTCCTGCCTTGGCCTTCTAAGCAACTGGGACTACAGGCACACATGACTAAGCCCAGCTAATTATCTTATTTTTGGTAGAGACTAAGTCTCGATTTCTTGCTCAGGCTGGTCTCGAACTCCTGACATCAAGCAATCCTCTGGCCTTGGCCTCCCAATGTACTGGGATTATAGGTGTGAACTACCATGCCCGGACAATTATCATTTCTGTATAAAACCTTTCTGCAGCAAGTTGAGTGGCCTCCGTTTTACAAATTGGCTAGAACTCCAGAAGGCAGATATTTAAAGGTCATAAATAGAGCAGCTAGCCCTTAGGAATTTTTGATAGATCTAGGAAGGTATGCCAAAGGAGATTGCTAAAGGTGTTTAACTTAAATTGGGATAGGTTAACCTAGCAAGGTATGGGGACAGAGCTGGTGGAGGGAGTATATTTCTCTTGAAATGACTGGGATACCAGAAATGAATAACTCAACACTGAGCAGACAACCTTGGTCAAGAAGTCGAAGAAGTTCAAACATATAGCCAAATCAAGAGGATTCAACATGGTGCACTGGGGAAAAGAGATAAAGACAAAAGAACCAGAAAGATGAGAGTGGAAGGGATGGGTCCACAAGTGAAGGTGGGAAGATAAGGGTCTTAGTGTAATTCACGGGCAGTTTGTCCTCAAGAGCTGTGTCTGTCCTTGAAATGTGGGCATACTAGTCAATTTAAAGCACTGTGTGGGCAAAGAGTAAAAATATTCAGACTCATTTCAACTGATATTCACCACTGTGTGCCAGATAATTTCACACCTGCCATATTTACCTCTCAGGATCTGTTCCTGCTTCTTTTTATAACAAAACTCACATTTTCCTTGGAAAAACTGGTCTCTTTTGGCTACTATTGAGATTTGTGCTTTATTTAGAGTTGACTGCCTGGATTGAGGAGTGTACATATGACCCAGGCCTGGACACAGCTTCACATTCTTTTTGCATGTTGGCAGCTCAGAATTGAGTATGTGACATAATTCAGGACAATGGAAATAAGACTTAGGACCAGACCTTTTGTTTTAACTGCTGGCAGTTCCCCCCCCCCCTTTTTTTTTCAACTACATAGAGCTTGAGAATGGAGAAGAGTTCAGAGATGAGAAGACATTGGGTCCTGAAAACAATGTCTCATAGTCTTGAATCAGCCATGTTTAAAGTCTATCGCTGATTCTTTTAACATTAATGAGACAATAAATGCCCATTTTCTGCCTTTACTTGCAAGATAAAATTCTCTAAATGATACTATTCTTAAAATTACAATTAATGTCACATGCCTATATATGGGTTCAGAATCTTGTATGTAATTCAAGAGGACCTCAACAGCTGGTACTACCACATCTTAGGTGATTTTCCTTAATGCAAATTAGAAAGAGTTATATGATTATGACAGAGAGAATTAACAACATGAATAATCTATTATATATATATGAAGAGGTTTCACCTTAAGTGTCACCAGAACAGAAATTATTATTCCTGTTTCATAGGCAGGAAAATTGAGACTCAAAGAACTAGATATTCATGTAGTGAATGAGTCGGCAGGTTGAGGTAGAGACAAATCCGTGACTGGAACACCGAGCTCTGTGTTCCTCCATGATGTAAGAAGTACAGCTAAAGACATTGAAAATACTCAGTGGCTGCCTTCTCTCTGATGACTAAGCAGAACTTGAAAGACATAAAAATGGTAGAAATCATTGTAGTTGCTCTTTTAAAAAATTAATATTATTTTAAATGAAAAATCATAATTGTACACATTGCATTTGCTCTTAAAGTGAAAAAAAGTTGTTAAAAGATTTAGTTCAACATCAAGTCAATAAAAAAATCAAAAATTAAAAAAACAACTTTGCTCATTTTTGTCATTCTGTTCTTACTCATGTTTTCA